GCAGTCACTGTGCATGTCAAGATAGTCTGCCTCATTAGCATTTCTTCTGGTGAAGAAACAAGAGGTCTCTCAGTAACGTATAATGGGGCCCCCAGCCACTGCAACTTGGGCAGATTTCTCCATGTTTGGTGCCCTTTAGCCAAAAGAAATTACTTTGACAGAAAATGTCAAAGCCAGTAACAACCCTGTGTGTTTTGGAAAGGAGGGTTCAATCTCACTGTGTTCCCCCTCAGATGAGAAGACCTGAAGTAGTTTATCTGAGATCATTCCACAACCATGCAGCAGAGTCAGAGCTGAGGCTCTGTCCTGCTCTGGTGTTCTGTCTTGTAGTTTTACTTGTTTTAGTAGCTTTTAGTGGATTAACTTCAGAAATTACTGGATGGGTTCAGTGGGCAGTGCTGGGGGGCAGCATCGTGTAACAAAATAGGTAAAGATTTTTGTGTGGTAGTTGTGAAGGTGGAAATACCACTGTAGTGACCTGCACAAGAATGACTGGTCGTCTTTGATCTATTGTGAACGTCTTTGGAAAGAAACCTGTTGGGTTTTGGCTAAGGAGCGGGAATCCTGTGTTCAGAACCTGCAGGCTCCTCCTGGAGATCTCTCTCTGAAAACATTGCCTCCCTGTCATGCACATATTGGTAATTGTGTAATTTTCTTCCATTTCCTAGGTCCAGAGCCGGAGAAGATTCCTGAACCGCCCAAAAAGGTGACCCCCAAGTTCCGAGTGCGACCACGTTTTGAACCCATACACTTTGTCACCAGTGCTGAGAAGGATGGCAAGAAGGACAGTTCTCTGGATAACCAAACGCAGGAGGTGAACCAGGAGGCAAATACAAACAGCATGGCACAACCAGCTGAAAACTGTACAAATTCTTTTGTGAATGCACGGGACGTGGATCCCCAGGTCTCCAGCACAGCTGGATTAGGCTTTACAGGCCCGGCAGCAGCAGCAGCACCAACAGCCAAGAGGGCTGTGAATAGTGTGGACTCTAACACAAGCAGCTCGTTGCAGGTTTCTGTTTCCCCTTCAACTGCCCCGTCTGCATCAGAGACTTTCCCTCCATCAGCAATAATGCTGAAGCAGAGCTTTATGGAGAAACTGTCAGCAGCTGTCTGGAAAAATCTCGCCAACCCAGATGCAAACACTGGGACTGATAAAATTAACTTCACCTATCTTTTGACACGTTCGATTCAGGCATGCAAGACAAATCCTGAATATATTTATGTTCCTCTGAAAGAGATCGCCCCTGCTGACCTCCCCAAGAGCAAGAAGCTCCTGACAGATGGCTTTGCCTGCGAAGTGCGATGTCAGAATGTCTACCTGGCCACTGGCTACGCCGGCAGCAAGAACGGGTCCCGGGATCGAGCCGCGGAGCAGGCAGTGAAGCTGCTGAAGAAGTCCGTGGAAGTTCGAGTTGTCCAGCGGAAGTTCAAGCACACCTACCACGAGGACCTGGTGGTGTGCGAGGCGGGCGTGTGTCGCACGGATTTCCCTCCTGCTCTCAAGCCTCACGAGGAGTTTGTAGTTGCCAACAGGGACTGTGTCCCACTGCAGCCCGGTACTGAAGCCGTGAAAGGTTCTGCCAATACCAACAAACACTGGACTAGTTTTGTCCTCACGGAGAACGCCAGTGACGCAATAGGAATACTGAACAATTCTGCCTCATACAACAAAATGTCTGTTGAATATAAGTACGAATTGATGCCCAACCGCTCGTGGCGGTGTCAGGTGTATCTCCAAGATCACTGCCTGGCCGAGGGGTTTGGCACGAAAAAGACCAGCAAGCACGCAGCAGCTGAGGAGGCCCTGAAAATCCTGCAGAAGATGCAGTCAAATATAGCGTCCCTCAAAGTGACCCAGGTGCAGAAAGTGGGCTGCTCGTCGCGGGGCTCCGGGAGGAAGAAGGACCTGAAGGACCTGGTGATCTATGAGAACTCCAGCAACCCCGTGTGTACGCTGAACGACACCGCCCAGTTCAACAAGATGACGGTGGAGTACGTGTTTGAGAGGATGACAGGCATGCGATGGAAATGCAAGGTGATGCTTGAGGATGAATTCATCGCAGAAGCAGTTGGAGTGAAGAAATCTGTCAAGCATGAGGCAGCAGAGGAAGCTGTGAAAATCCTCAAAAAGACTCAGCCAACTGTTGTTAATAACCTGAAGAAAGGCACCGTCGAAGACGTCATCTCCAGAAATGAGATCCGGGGTCGATCAGCAGAAGAGGCTTTCAAACAGAAGATCAAAGAAGACAACATTGGGAACCAAATTTTAAGAAAGATGGGCTGGACAGGCGGTGGCCTAGGGAAAGATGGTGAAGGAATTAGAGAGCCTATTTCAGTGAAAGAGCAGTTTAAAAGGGAAGGACTTGGGCTTGATGTAGAAAGGGTGAACAGAATTGCTAAAAGAGATATTGAAGAGATCATTCGAAACTATGCACGCTCAGACAGTCACATTGACTTGACTTTCTCTAGAGAACTGACCATGGATGAGCGGAAGCAGATACATCAGATAGCCCAAAAATATGGTCTTAAAAGTAAATCCCACGGGCAGGGACACAACAGATACTTGGTGGTGAGCAGGAAGCGGCGCAAGGAAGATCTGTTAGACCAGCTGAAGCAGGAAGGCCAGGTTGGGCATTATGAGCTTATCATGCCCCAAGCAAACTGAGGTGAGGTGTCCCCTTAGACCAGAGACTGAGCTTCCTGGACACTCAACTAAAGAAAGAGATGCTGCATTTTTCTTGTGGGTAATAATGTCATCTTTTACTTTGGCAATATAATTTCTAAAATGTTGTTAGGCGTTTAGAACCGACCGAGTTCTGTTCCAGTACATTAGCACAACCCAAAAGCAGTAGTGCAGTTACTGTATGTGTCTTTGATATTACTTGTTCCTTCACATTTTAATAGTTTTGTAATAGCAAACACACATGTCCAATGAGAAGGAATTTGACATCATTTAAAATCATAGGTCCATTATTCTTTTTGAACAAGGAAGGAAAAAAAAAAGCCTTTTTTTTTTAAAATAATTAAAAAACAAAGGAAATGCAGTCTGGGGGCATAAACCTGTATGTAAAATTGATATTAATGACAATAAAGTTTTATTTCTGGAAAAAAAAAGGATTTGTCACACTTTGTATAAAAAAAGTGTGAAAACTCTGTTTATTCTTGAGAAATACATGTATTGAGGTCTTGTCTCTGCCACGTGTGTATGTACAGTATGTAAACCTTAACCAGCAGTACAGTTTTATTCATAGATTTCTACCCCGAGTCTCCCATTCTGAGAATCACCGAAGGCACCTTCGTGGCCAGCATATTGGACTGAGAGAATCCCAGCGCCTTTCTGCCTTGGAGAACTGCTTGACATGTGCAAATGCCATGGTGAAGTGTGAAATGTAAAAACTGGAGGTAAATGCAGAGCCCACGCTCAAAGATGCTCATGTAGCTTGTGGGGACTGTTATATAACTTATTTTTTTACTTTGAATATCAGCTCTTTAATCCTGAGCAAAAACAAATCTGTGCCTGATTATTTCTCTGCTCCATCCCTGTACCTGTGCCTGTGGAGGGCGATTCACCAGTGACCTTGTGGCCTTGCTCTGACCCCTGTGTGAGCGTGGCAGCTCTCCAGGAGGCCGGGACGCTTCTCTCCGTGCCAGGGAAGCAGGCTGACCTCTGGCTGTGCTGCTCCGCCAGCAGCACCACAGGACACGGTGCTCTGTGAGCCTTGGAGAACATTCACTTCATGCCTGGGGAGCATAAAGGTTAGGAACTGGCCTTGGAAGAGCCCAGAGTCAGGCGTGCTGGTTTTTCTGTGCTGGTTCTGTACCACTAAGTCGGTCCTCATGCAGTGTTTTTGTTTGTTCTCCTGTTATTGTGTCTCAGCTCTTGCCTTTGGTTTTCTGCTGCCTGTATTTGCCACACCATCCTCTACCTTTTTTCCTCACCTCCTGTTCTGTTTTTAAATACTCCCAGTGCTTTTTTAAATACTCCTCTTATCGCTGAGGCAGGAGCTCCTGGTGATGTGTAGTTAGAGGCATTTTCATCCCTGCAGGATGCCTTGGCAGGTGAGACTCGCTCAGGAAGCAGAGTGAGCACCCCCTCCTCTCCCTGCCTGGCTGCAGCACAGCTTCTGCCAGCTTGGACTGCTGAAGTAACAACTTGCTGCTGCTCTTGCTGTAGGAAAATAACGTGGCAGTTAATTCTGAAAGTAGATTGTTTTTTTCATTTTGTTTGGGTTTTTTTGTGCATTTTTCCTTTTCTCTGGTTCTGAATTCTGCTGTCAAGAATGCTGGGCTCTAGCAGATGGTGCTGTAGGAGTGGAAGAAGCCTGGTACTTTCTAGGGAGATATTCCTGCAAGCAGGAGTGAAGCTCCCCCTCCCTAACTCGGGTATGCAGCAGGTCTTCAGAGCTTGCTGATGCCAAGAAAAGCAGTGAGAGCACCACTGTGTTCAGGATGAAAAATGCCTCTTTTGGGAGAGGTGGGGACTGGCTGTAGGTCGGGGTAGTGGGCCTGTGTAGCCTGTGCAGGGCAGGGTGTTGCTTTTCCTGCCCCAGGAAGTGGCCCTGACCCATCTTTGCTGAGCACGGTGCCCGTGCAGGACCTGGAGTGCAGGTGTAGGTTTGGCTGGTGGGGCATCACCTGTGGGAGGAGAAGAGCAGCAGCCCCACCCTCCCCTGTGAGTCTGTGCAGTGTCAGGGCTGGGGAGAGACCATGGTTGTAATTAAGGCCGTGCATAAAGGCCTTGCCTGAGCAAGCGGGGAAGGTGAGATTGGTGTTTCTGCAGCTCAGTTCTGGCTGCCTTGAGTCCACTCTCTTACTTTGGTGGTTTTTTGTGACTATCAAGACAAACACAAGAATGGAGGGACTGCTAGGAGGGCTCCTGTGACCTTGGAGTGACTTGGCCCTTCCAGCTGCTGCCCTGAGTGGGAAGTATGTCAGTGCTGGAGCTTGATCCCACACCCGACTGCTGCCACCCCAGTTAAAGAAGCACAGTTATACACTTCTTGCCTATTTATACAATAAGCACTAAGGTTACACTTTATTTACAACTTTTGAAAAATGTACAGTTTCTTACATGGGTTACTTGTGCAAAGTTATACTTTTCAACTAACAGACCAATGTGCACACAAAAGACACTGGAACAGTGGACAACACAATTGTAGGTTCCATCCCACACTGCTGCTTAAGGTTCTGTATCCAAAGGTACAAACTTGCCTTACAAAAAAAGTGAGTCTGGACTTACAAATGTTTTTTTTTTTCAGAGTTGAAAAAATACTTTCATAAAACTGAAGGGAACAAACTCAAGCATGCAGCAGTAGCTCACACAAACCACGCGGTCATCTACAAAGAGCAGAAACTGCAGAGACTCGAGTGCCTACCCTGGACTTAATTCAAACTTTCCACAAGACAAAGTTAGATCCCAAAGAACTTAATCTTTCTCAGCTAAATATAAGGGGCAGGAGAAAGATACCAGAGGAGAGTAATTCCACAGCTGAACAGGTCATGTTTTACCTCTTCCTTAACATGGAAGGCCTTTTGCTGAGTACCACACCTCTACCTGGTTTTGTCCAGTAATGCCTCGGTGACAGGACTATAGAAGCCTACTGACATTTCTGTAGGCATGTCCTTTAAAATAATAATAATAATAATAAAAAAAGGGCTTGTTTCTTGCCCTCAGTAAAGATCCAAGTACCACAGCTGAAGTGATTTATGTAGATCTGTACATAAATCTTGCATGTGAAGTGCAGAAGTAACAAGCATTCCAGGGTCTTACTAAATCTTTGAATTGAAATCAATTGAAGAGTTAATTTTTTTAACATGAGTAAGGAGTTGATAAACCAATACAAAAAGGAAACAGGTTATTTCTTCACTCAATACTTACAAATGCAGTGGGGTCTAAACCAATAGTAGAGGAAGTGACCAGCCTGGACACATCAGCACTTTAGTTAATATCAGTTAAAAAATGTGTATGTATATAAACATCCCTTTTATCAAGCTACACATAAGCGTCACTGTGTATAACACAATTACAATTAAAAGCTTAGTGTACACTACAGAAATGCACAATACTGCCCTAAGACTGGAGAGGGACCACAGAAAATGAATTCAGCATCAGTAACTCTTTTGCAAGTAACCCAAGTACAGAACGTTTGACTTCAAAGTGGGTGCGTTCTGATGTCCAAGGAGAAGAAGCTTCAGCAAGGGAGGGTGGCAACAGCACAACAGCTATTCTGCTTGCAAAGTAAATGCTAGGAGGAAAAAGATGACTCGGACACTTTGTTTATTTTCCTCATCAACAGAGTGTTCATTTGCATCATCCTGGGTCAACAGTCACGCCAGCTCTGTTCTACTATTGCAGAAACCCGTTTTTCATATTCCCGCTTATTCTCTTGGTATAGCTGAGCTGCCTGGCTGTTTGCTGGACTGTTCGGATTTGGCTCATCCAATAGAGACTGTGCAAAGAGAAAAAGATCCTTAGGCATTGCAAAGTACACAGCTTTCCAACGTGTCCTGTAAACTACCCACTCTAATCAGAGCAGAGAGGTTAGTCTGGGTGCAGCACACTGCACTCCTGCAGCTGGAAGGCACCACAGGCTTTGGCTACACTGGCACTGCTCAGCACAGGGGACTGTGGCAGCCAAGCAGTGCAGCCCTGGGCAGGTCCCTGCAGTGCCCACCTGTGTCACTGCCCAGCCCATTTACACCTGGGAAGGATTCACACTGGGCCAGTATACACGTACAGCTGCTATACTGACTCTTGGGAGAGGGAAAAAAACCATTTTCCTGAGCTGTTTTTGTCAAAGCATCCTAATTTCATTCCACCTTTTCATGCAGAGTTCTTTTACCTGTATGGATGTTAAGATGGAGGAGACATCGTAAGTAGGACTCCAACGATTCTGAAGAATATCCAGACATATACTACCGTCTGCATAGACTAGAAAAGGTTCAAAGAGAACAGCTTAAAACAGGAGTTGTACAGCTACTGCCTTTTTCCTGCTATTGCCTGATGCTGAAAACCTACATTCAGACAGACACTACAACAGTCCATAGCATCTGACAGACTGCAATCCAGCCAACAGGCCTGCAGGTAGGAAGTGGTGAAGCTCCTCACCAACAGCTGCCTGAGGTATTTAAACTCAACCCCCTAACATCAAACTTCTCTGTCATTGTAACAACCACTACAGAAAACCAAAAACAGCTTTTAAGGCAAAAAACCTCCAGCTACCCAAAAGTGAACCAAATAAAGAACAGCAGCAAACAGTTGTTTACACTCAAGGCTTCCCCAAGAAGTCTCTACATCAGTCAGAGTCCAGTCACCTTCCTCACAGCAGCTACAGGAGAACCTTCCCTCCCTGCACTGTACCCACTCTTGCACATTTGAAAGTGTCAGGTATTTCTTCACAAAGCTGATATTTGTTTGGAGGCCAGGCTTACCTCTCCAGCTTTAGTTACCAAGGAAGGGGATTTATTGAACAATCTTACTGTGACTAGCTATAGTGGAGAGTAACACTACACTTCGTGGTATATTGCTCTTGCAGGGATTTTGGGGAAGAGATGGAAGTCAGCTGCATTCAGCAGCATCACTATGCTGTATCTACAGTACAACAGACAGAAGTCCAAGACACTGCTATTTAAGTACAAAACATTCTTCTGTAAGGCTTAACAACAGGCAGTTGAGAGTCTCATCAGTACTGTGCTATAACACCTGAAAGTTAAGAGGCTCTTTTTATTGCCCCTTTCATTTCAAGCCTGAGCACTGCTCATGTATCCATCCTCATCAAAACTACATGGGCCCACACCGGATTTTGCTGCCTTATTAGATAGGGGAAACTTTTATAATAATTAGACCTTTTTCTAAAGCAAGCTATAACAACAAAAAAACACCCCAAAACAACAAAATTCCTCCTCCCCCCCCCAAAACACCTACAACCCAACAAAACAACAGAAGTAAAACCAGGCATTGTGTAAGTACTTACCATTTGGATGAAACATTTTAGAGACAAATCTAACAGTAGGTGGCTTATTTGGGTATTCTTCTGTGAATTCTATTGTAAGTTTGAAAGTCCCTGGAGTTGAAAAAGAGATAAGCAACCTTTATTCAACAAGAATTTACACAAGGGATGAGTAAGTAGCATCCCTCCACAACACACACTGTACTATTGTGCTCACACACGCATGTTGGACATGGAACACAGACTGGGCAGCCCTACAGCCATTCCTCTACTCCCTTGGAGTTAATCATTAGCGCTGAAGTCCCAGACAGTGCCGGTACAAGAGTATCTCCCGTGACTTCTACTGCCAAAACCACCAACCCAGTCAAAGGGTCTGTGTAAGGAATTAAATCTGCCCATGAGGTTTTCTTTCACGGAGCCCAATCCCTGCACACTGTACAAACAACACAAGTGGGTGTACAACCATCTGCGTAACAGCCGGGATTCGGTAAGTCCTATCTATGGAATGTGCTGTCATGACAAGGACCTTCTTATTTATTTTCTCTGCATTTCAAAAAAAAAAAAAAAATCATGTTTCTCAACAACTGTGAGGTAATCAGATTTTATTGCAGAAAAGCAGTATTGAATGCAGCATCCAAATCCAACAATTCAAAATAAAAAATCTCACCATTTATTTCACACTAACTGGTCTTCCTTGGAGAAAGACTGATTAAGCAGAAACAGAAAACTGCAGCTGAGTCCCACTCCAACGTTTTAACAGCCTGCACCAACGTAAGTTATTTTAGCCCTTCTCCTCAGGCTGTGACAATCTGAGAATAAGAAGTCTGTCAACTAAGCTGCACACATATGGGTCCAGGGGATTAAGGACTGCTTCTGATTCAGACGGATAACTAAAGAACTCACACACTCCACTGCAGACCCTGTGAGCTTCTCCTAACCACGATATCACCTGAGAGCAACCAGCCCGGGCAGCAGCTTAGGAAGGGCCTGGGTATGCCTGGAGAGAAATCTCTGAAGCACCTTCATATAAATATACAGCTCTTCTGCAGGAGGACTGCACCTTACAGTAGGAGCTGTAACAAGCTGCCAGGGTGGACACACTGCCTTTTTCAAAAGGAATTCTTATGTATCAGTGAGAGGTCAAGTTCCCTCCACCCCCCCCACTCAGTGTCCTTGCTTCCTGCTGTGAGGGAGTTTTCCAGCACTAATATAATGAAGTTATTCCTTTCTCTGGCTGGCAAACATGTGCCAACAACTGGTAGCCAGAGAACAGATTTTTCCCCCCCCATTTTCTTTTCAGATCAGCAAGGACCTGCAGTATCTCCCAGGGACTCCTTTCTTTGTAAGGAGATAAACTGTAACACTGAGTGGCAAGAAATGAAGGTCATTGTTTTGACGTTCCAGTTTGCAAATGAAGACACAGCACAGATGCCTCAGTGCTTTCCCTACAGCACTGGGAAGTCTCAACACCCTAAAAATAAGTTTTTGCATGTTTGTTTTTTATTAGCAGCCTAACAACATAAGAGTACAAACCCAACACCATGCTATCTTAATGTGAAACAAAAAAACCCAAAACAATATAGTTAAGACTGTTCAAGTTAATGGAAGTCTGCAGTGGGGCTTTCAAGCTTTACCCCAGCTAGTCCAGAAGCACTGAGATCAGTGTTTGCAAGCCAGTACTGGGAAGTTAGTAACAACTTCTACCAGCTGCAAACATCAGATCAGGGCTACTTTTCCTTCCCTACATGGTGACAGTCCCAAGCAATGCTGGCCTTTTAGAACTAAATGCTTAGAGATGTGATTCTGAATTTCAGAGATTCCCTGCCCCAGTTCTGGTTCTCAGTACCTCCTCCTGAGGAAGGAGGAGTGACTAAGCAAGCAGCAGGCTGAAAACTGAGCACAAACCATCACAGGGTAGAGTTCAACAAGCACACTTGAGCCAATGAATGCTGGTCTGGAACTCTGCCTGAAGTGGGAGCAGAAGGGACAGACAAGACAGCCCAAGGGCAGTAACGGGCAGTTTGGTCTTAGAATCTATTTAAAACTACTGAAAGAAAGGGAAGCTTTTGTCTCACCAGAGGCAGGACAGTATTACTTTAAACACAAATCTGAGCGGGGGGCAGACAGTGTCCAGCAGGAGTATCTCCCTACTCAGATTTCCACATCAGGGCCCAGAGTGGCAATGGCTTTTTGGAACAGCTCCCCAGTACACAACTCCTCGTTGCTGAGCTTTAGTAAAGGACAAATCCAGACGTCTGACAAACCAAAGTCCAACGGTCACTCACACTGAAAGCCAACACAAGTCAATCAGGTATCACAACACACACTGCTGGGGATGAGGCCTTTGGTGTTCAGTCTGTCACTAATTTTAAAGCTTTCAACTGGTATTCCTCACAACTTATCCTATACAGCCATTTTTAAAACATAAATTATCATATTCACTGTCATTACTGATACTGGGATCATCACTGAGGAGAAAACATTCTCTTTTCTCTCCTGTACTCACCTTGTTGATCGGCTTCTCCTGCCTCAGGATCTGAGTCTCTGACACAGCTAACAGAAGTCTCTGCACAACCCATGTGCTGGCCCCAGCAGCCCCCCAGAGCAGAGCCTGTGCCCCTGCTGGGCCCCCTCACTGCAGGCAGTGAGAGCAGCCCCTCCATTCCACTGCCCACAGAGCAGGAACAATCTCTTCCACTCCCGCAAGAGGATACACGATCCATATTCCACAAGCAAGGAACAAACCACAACACACAAACGCCTTGCCTTCTCTGTTCAAGCCTCCTGCATGACGACAGCAAGGCAGGATACTACAACAGCTGTATTACTTAACTCTCTCCAAGCCAGGAATCCTGCACTGACCACATTATTGTCATCCAGTTTCAGAGAAACAGGTCTGAAAGACTGGGAGAGCCTGGGCTTCCATGGCTGTGCCAGCACTACCACTTTAGATGCCACACACATATAGATTCTTAGAAATATGGTGAAAGGCAGGATAAATATCCCCAGGGTACTACTGCAGACACCTGCAATCCAATCCTCTCAAAGGAGAAGATGGAAGTTATGCTGCTGATCTGAATTAGTGGTTGCTCCTAAGCTGAGCCAGCCTGAACACTGAGTTGTGAAAACACCCTCCAAAGTCTGGGGGTGGAGAAGGAGGGATGTTAGCTGCAGTATGTTGCACAGCAAGTAAACAAACACGTTTGAACTTCGGGTTTTCAGTCCAGACACCTCAGAAGCTGGGACTGGGGAAGGGCCTCAGCAGAGGGAGGATAAAGAACAGTAATTCTGACGATGTTGGAGTTATACATTGGTTTTAACAAAAACCCCAAAATTTCACACGCTACTTTCACAAGAACTAAGCTATCTGAAGTCTCACAGCATCACCAGAAAGTGCCTAAAACCAAAAATACAAAAGCAACTTCTGAAGCACTGACCTCAAAGGCTTCATGAGAAAGATTACAGAGTTTCAGTGTACCTTTGACTCCCAGGGGCCTGCACAGTTACAAAATAAGCCCAAACCAGCATACTGTTAAATTAAAATTCCCTTAATTTTACCTACATTGAGCTGGACTGCACCTGGACTGCACTACCATTATCTGAGCTGTGCTACTCTACTCACTTAATGGAAAAGCACAGCTGAGGCACCAGTAATGCCATATCTCCAGGCACCACTTAGTGTTTTGTTATCTAGCACAAGGTAAGATATGTCCAGAAAAGAGGAGATAAGCAAGTATCCTGCAACACAAGACGCATCTGTTTTCTTGAGCACAGTGTGAAAACACACACTTTGCTATGAAAAGAGCAATCCATCACACGCTGAGATTACAAGATCAACCAAAGCAGGACAGCAGCAGCCTCAAGCATCTGCCTGAACCTCAAAACTGCTGCAAGTCCAACACGTCCTCGGCATCCGAGATAAAAAAAATGATGCTGCCACAGAAAGCACAGAGGAAATCAATATGTCAGGGCTCTCAAAAGCAGTCTTCAACCTTCTGCAACTAAATGGAAATGTATGGAAAAAAACCCCTTATAGCATCTGTTAACCACACACTGAGCTGGAAGAGCCTGAGCATGGTAACAACCTGCATTTTAGCACACTGCAAGGAGACAGCTTTCTGCTCCAAACAGTGAATCACTCCATTAGCAGCAGTGCTCCAAGAGCCTAAGCAGCTCTAGCAACCCTCATAGAAGTTTAAGGGAGCCTTCTTTAAAGGTTACAACATGAGATAACAAAATGTATTTAGTCTATCTGTTCTATAATACAATGTTATGGAACACTTAAGTTCTGAACATTAGACTGCTGAAGCAGCTACTACAGCAAACAACTAACCCAATACATTAAAAAAAGTAACTGGAATCTTTGCAGTTTTCTTAGGCTTGAGATATGTAAAATCTTCACAGAGAAAAACAATCTGCAGTTTAGAGGCATGTCCACAGGTGCTACCTCCGAGGATAAACAGAGACATGGGAGTTAGCCAAGAACAACATAAAAGAGTTAAGGAATTTTTCCTATGCTTTTGTCATGAGTCACAGAGATCTAAGATTAATTATAGCCTGCACTGAAAATATCTTAAAAAAAAATGCATCGCTGATTTCAGTTAGACAGTATTTCGTGTCTAACAGGTTTTCACAAGATGCTGAAGTATTCATACAGCACCTGTAAACCTACCAAAGGCAATAAGGCCAGATGGAAACTACAGGTATGTTACCAGGACCTATTTAGTCACCTTTTAGAGTTAAAAAGTCCTTTTAATCTTAAGCCCTGAATGATAACAATTGTAGCAGACTGAAGTAAATGCCAAAAAAAACCCCAACCCAACTGTTCTGAACTTCCTCAAACATGCAGCCCATTTCCTACTTCAGCTGACTCACATTGGGACTTACTCACAAAACACTTCCAGCACCAGAAAAGAAACACAGAACTCAAACAAAAGACAACGGTTCTATACCAGGATTTTGATGGTTCTCCAAATACAAGTGTCCCTAAAAACACAGTCCAGGGTTCAACAGAAAAGCTTGAAGAGCCTTAAAATGCTACATTAAATTAGGTTTAGGACAGCCAGACTTCACGACTACAAGCAAGACCCTACAAGCTAATCTGTCTATCTCAGTAAATTAGCACAGCAATCTAAATCTACATCAGTTTTTGGAAGTCGGAGTAAGGGGAAAAAAAAAAAGGGTATTTACTTAAGTCAAGCACACGGGTGTGCGGTCAGGTGAACGTGACCCATGCCCCCCCTCCACCCCCGGGCCCACACCTGTTGCAGAGTTCACGGCAGTGACACCAAGGCCGTGTCAAACCGCACCAGTTTTACCCCAGAACGCCAACCACCAGCCCCGCACGCCGCACTTACCGTCCTCGAAAGGGGTCCCCTC